TATCGTACCATGTATCCATACAGGGGTGTAGTTTGTGGCTGCTGCTGCTCTCGCTGCTGCGCATGCGCCGCAGTATTTCTGCTGCTTCCCAGTGACGTATCTGGCGGCCGTAAGGAACCAAAGACAGAGAGGGATGCAGAGCAGCACAAGACGCACGCTTGCTGCAGCCGTTCATCTTCCTGCTGCTGCTGCTGCTGCTGCTGCTGATGCTGCTGTTGCTGCTGGTGCCGATACTGGCTATACTGCTGCTGCTGCTACTGCTGCTGCTGCTGCTGTTGCCGATACTGGCTATACTGCTGCTGCTGCTGCTGCTGCTGCTGCTGCTCGGGAAGGCGCTGCAGCGGATGCTCGTGCTGGTCCTGTTGCTGCCGATGCAGCACCTGCTGCTGCTGCTGCTGCTGCTACTGCTGCTGCCCTGGGGTATGCGTCCATGAAGAGGAAGCAGCAGCACAGCACTGCAGCAGCAGCAGCGGGACCAGCAGCAGATGTTTCCCTGTGACTCCTAGCTGAGGCACCCTGTTGCTGCTGCTGCCCCGGGGCTTGGAGAACAACAACCCCACCGTCTTCGCCTAATCTGTGGTTTGTTTTTTGTTTACTATCAACAAAAAGACAAAAAAAACAAAATAAATAAACAAAACAAATAAATAAACAATTAAATAACACAAACAAACCCTCTATACCGAGCAGCAACGAAGGCAGCAGCGGGGGGCCCCCAGCGCGCCTGAGGGGGGCCCCAAGCAGCAGCACCGCAGCAAGCAGCAACACACACAAACAGCAAAAGATACAGCTGCAGCAGCAGCAAACGAAACTGCAGCAGCTCTAGCAGCAAGCGCAGCAGCAGCAGGAAAGGCTGCGCCGACACTGGACAGGCAGCGATAGCAGCAGCAGCAGCAGCAGCAGCAGCAGCAGCAACTGCGACCGCAGCAGCACTGGCAGTTGGTGTACCCGCAGCAGCCGCAGCAGCAGCAGCAGCAGTAGCAACAGCAGCAGCAGCAACAGCAGCAGCAGCAGCAGCAGGTGGCACCATGTGGGACCCTGATGAGATTGCGGATGCTGCAGCAGCAGCAGCAGCAGCACCGGCGACGCAGCATTCTAGGGAACCAGCAGCAAAAGCCACCGAAGCAGCAGCAGCAGCAGCAGGAGCAGCAGCAGATGATGTTGAGAAGGAATCAGCAGCAGCAGCAAGTACTGTCTCTCCATCAGCAGCAGATTCATATTCATCAGCAGCAGCATCTTTCCCTCAGTTTGCTTTACCAGCAGCAGCAGCAGCAGCAGCACCCCACCCCCCACCCCGTCCCTCCTCCTCCTCTTCCTCCTCAGCAGCAGCAGCAGCAGCAGCAGGGGGACGTATCCGTTTGCTGCCGGATGAGGTGGTGCGGCGCATAGCAGCAGGGGAGGTGGTGAGCCGGCCCTCAGCAGCACTAAAAGAGTTGATAGAGAACAGCATAGATGCGGGGGCCCTTCGGGTGTCTGTACACTGCGTGGGGGGGGGCCTCAAGCTGCTGCAGGTAGCAGACAACGGCAGCGGTGTAGCAGCAGCAGACCTGCCGCTGCTGTGTGCTCGTCACTGCACCAGCAAGCTGCAGCAGCTGCAGCAGCTGCAGCAGCTAAGCTCCTTTGGCTTCAGGGGAGAAGCACTCGCTGCTCTCTCTATGCTAGCTAGGGTTTATGTAACCACCAAGCAGCGGGGGGCCCCCCATGGATTGGAGTGTACGTACACCTCAGGGGCCCTCGCCGAGACACCGAGGCCCTGCCCCCGTACAGCTGGCACAACAATAAAAGCAACAGATTTATTTTATAATTTAAATGCGAGAAGAGCTGCGTTTCTCTCTGCTTCTGCTGCTAAAGTATCAGCAGCAGCAGCAGCAGCAGCAGCAGCAGCAGCACCAACTGCAGCAGCAGCAGCAGATGAATATCTACGCTGTCTACATATCGTCTCCCGCTATGCTATCAACAACCCCCACGTTGCCTTCAGCATGCGCAGACAGCAGCAGCAGCAGCAGCAGCAGCAGCAGCAGCTACCTGACCTCAATACACAAGCCTTTGGCCTTGCAGAAGCCAAGCAGCTGCTGCTGCAGCTACGGAAGCAGCGCAAACAGCAGCAGCAACCCACAGACACCACCACCAGCAGCAGCACCAGCAGCAGCAGCAGCAGCAGCAGCAGCTGCAGCTGCTGCTGCACAGAAGACGAAGAAAGGCTACCAACAGAAGCAGAGCTGCGGCTGCTGCGCGGCGTCTCCCTGCTGCAGGGGGGGGCCCTGAGGGTTATAGAGAGGATCCATGGCGCAGCACTAGCAGCAACGCTGCTGCCTATACACCTGAAATCCTCGCTGCCTGCTGCTGCTGTTAGCTTCCTTCGGAGTCAGCAGCAGCAGAGACAACAGATGCAGCAGCAACAGCAGCAGCAGCAGCAGCAAGGAGAGATGGATCAGGACGAAGCAGCAGAGGGAAGTAGGAACGATGCTGCTGCAGACGCCACCAGCAGCAGCGACAGCAGCAGCAACAGCAGCAGCAGCAGCAGCAGCAACAACCGCGACCATGTGTGTCCTTTATTGCAGGAGTTAGTATCATTGCTGTCTGGTGGGAGCGTGGATTGCAGCAGTTCTGCTGCTGCTGCTGCTGCTGCTGCTGCTGCTGCTGCTGCTGCTGGTGGTGTTCGTGTGTCTGAGCCTGCTGAGGTGTATCTGCAGCAGCTGGGAGAGGGAGAG